AATTTGACTCAAAAGATGGTGCACACTTTTAGAAAAAATGGCTTAAAGGTAAAAATGCCCATAAAACTTAATGCACATAAAACATTTCTATTACTGCTGTGAACTGACCACACAGAATATGAAGAATATCAAAAAATTCAGGATTCAGCTGTCCACAGTAGTCCTTAAGATATCAGCACAATAACACACTCAGCAAAATATCATCCAATTATCGTTATCGATAAAATCCCAGAAAAATATCGAGATATCATTTTTTGACAGTATCGCACACCCCTAATTTATGTTATTTAATTGATATAATAATTTATTGATAATAATTGTTTAAATTAATATAATAATTAATACTTTTGACTCATCCATTTTCTTAACAATGGTTTAAAGGCTGAAATGTAAAGTTTATCATTTTATAAAACTTTGTTTTTGTGAAAACTTGTATCTGAACTGTAAATTATGCTTTTTACAGTAATTTTACAGTTTAATATGGTACTATAGACATTGCCCTACCCCGCTCATATGGTATTAATTTTATTTGTGCAGGTCTTTAAAAAGGTCTTAAAAAGTCTTAAATTTGAGCTTAAAAATCTTGCAGAAACCCTGTTAGCCAAAAAAAATCAAATAAATAAATACATAAATAAAAAAGGAGATTTCTTGTTTCGTCATGTTGAAACATCTTCTCAATGCAAAATGAAAATTGCTTAAAAATACACTGAATAAAATGTTTTGTCAGACAGGTTTGGTTAAAGGGAGAAAACAAAAAACAATGGCTGTAGGTCAAAACATCTATCTAGTCAACAACAATTAAAATGCGGCAAAGTGGAACTCAAAAAATACAGCCCATTAAATTTTTTTGCATTTTTTTTTTTTTTTATTAAAAGTAGATTTTTTTTTCTTGAGAAATGTAATAAAGTAAAAGTACAAGTAGTCAGTTTAAATTTTACTTGAATAAAGTACAAATACCCCAAAATAATACTTAGTACAGTAATCAAGTAAAATTACTCAAGTATTTTACACCACTGACAATTCATCAGTACACATTCATGTTTCATCGCAATGTAATAATTGTAATAATTTACTTTTCGTTTTTGGCTGATGTCATCATACCTGTCATATAGACACACTTTTCGCTAAATAAGAGAATGAAAACCGTAACACAATGTTTGATGTCTGCAGGCACATGAAGGAGATCTCCGAGCTTCAGGCTCATCAGAGAGGAGAGATCGAACAGTTGTATTCTCGGTTAGGTCGACCGGTTCCTCCCAGCATGGGCTTCTTGCATGCAGTGCCGCCTACAGGCCGCCGCCGCAGAGCCTCCAAACACAAGCTGAAGGGAAGCCGACTGCTCAATCCCATGGTGCAACAGCTTAGGAACAACCGAAGCAACAGCTCTAGTATGTATGCGAGAGTTTGTGTGAGCCGGAGTGCCAGCTTTAAAATCACAGAAGGGGTGGTACCACTATATTTTGGACCCCTGAGGAACATGGCCAACAGAATGCTATCTGGCTTCTGTTAAATTAAGTACATTTGAAATGTAACTAGTATCTGAAGAAAATGTAGATATTTGGTCTGCAAAACTTGGCACCACAGTGCACATTTTATTGTCCATTTGATTGCTTAAAGTAATAGTACAGCTTTCCCCAACAAGACACATGATTTGAGGAATTATTCATGCCTGAAGAACCAACGGTGCAGAGTGTGGTTCATGTCCAAGTTTAACTTTTAAGATTAGTTATTAGTTAAGATTAGACTGCCTCACTTTAGGTATGAGTGTGGGTGTGTGGTAATGGTGATTTTTACCTTAGCAACCATTGCTAATAATAATTTTAAAAAATTGTTTGAAAGTTGACAATTGAATAATTTAAAGTTCCCTTCCGAGGGAACTTCGAACTGCGTCCTCTAGGGGTCGCTATGGGGAACGCCTCATCGTGACCCGTGTCTGAAGCATACATCTAAACACGACAATAACATTGGCCGGCGACAGCCTGTGACGTCATCACCCGGCGTGACCACAGTGTAAAATGGCGTCGGGAGAACACGTCATCCTCTTCTTTGTCTTCAGGACTGTTTTGTTTGAAGCGTGCTTTTCTGGTAAGAACGATTACTCTTCTTTACCATGGCGAGCACTAGTAAGGCGTTTAAGAAGTGTGTGGATCCGTGTCCTCATTATTTGACACCTGATGACACACACGATCTTTGCGTCTTTTGTTTGGGTGAAGAGCACGTGCGCGATGTCCTCAAGGGGGCAGTTTGCGCACACTGCAAGCTTTTTTCTATGAAAAAGCTCCCCTCTCGTTTGTCTCTCTTTTTGAGGAAAGAGGGACAGTCATCAGCTCCCCGTGGTTCAGGACCCTCCGTTGCTGAGGCACGGAGGAAATTGAGCTTGTGGGGATTGCAGATGGACCTGGCTCATGAGTTAAAAAAGGGTCTTTCCCTTTCGCACTCATCAGTCACGGACGAGAGTGAGCTGCTGGACGACAATGCTATCTCTCTTACATCGTCTGATCCAGCGGCTAGTGCTCTGCTGGCTCAAAGCCAGGATGAGCAGATGTCAGATGAAGATGAAAAAGTTGAGACTGAGTCCTCCCAATCCTCCTGCACCGCGTATGATGGGCTGCTTGAGGTTATGGATCGTGCCACGGCGAGGCTTGACTTGTCGTGGAACCGGGCCAAGAAAGTGACGCCTCGAGGCCGCCTTGATGAGCGTTTACTTTCTAGCCATAGCGTTCCGGCTCTGGTGAGCTTTCCATTTCTTCCCGATCTCCATGTGGAGATCAAGAAGGCTTGGAAAAATCCATTCTCATCTCGCATTCATAGATTCCAGCATATTAGTTATGCCAACATTGAGGGGATGCATGAGAATGGATATGAGAAGATGCCCCCTGTTGAAGAGACACTAGCCTGCTATCTCTCTATGGGGGAGACATCTTCTCTTAAGGCTCCCTCCATGCCGTCCAAACCACTTCAGGATAGGGGTGGGCGATATGAGCTAAAATACATATCACGATATTTTACACTGTCCAGGCGATATCGATATTATATTGCGATATGAGAAAAAAAAATTACAGGCAAAATATTTTAACCTTATATAACTAGAAAAAGTGAGGGATTGGACATAGACCTGAAAAGCGTTTTTTTATTGTGCAATTGTTTTTCTCAAAAAGTGCAAACGTGCAACATGAGGTAGGCCTGTATGAATTAAATTCAATTTAAATTAAATTAAATAGTGTGTGTTTGAGTTGGCCAGTGGTTCCCAAACTTTTTCTGCCGGGCCCCCCTTTTGTAGAGAAAAATATTTTCAAGGCCCCCCCCCTCTTTTTTTTTTTTTTTTTTTGGAAAGTCTCATGCTGATCAAGGCTACATTTATTTATTAAAAATACAGTAAACACTGTAATATTGTAAAGTATTGTCAATTTAAATTATCTATTTGAATTTTTTTACATATAGGCTACTGTATTCCTGTGATCAAATCTGAATTTTCAGCATCATTACTCCAGGCTTCAGTGTCACATGATCCTTCAGAAATCATTCTAATATGCTGATTTGCTGCTCAGTAACCATTTCTTATTATTATCAATGTTGAAAACATTTGTGCTGCTTAATATTTTTGAAGAAACAGTTTTTTCACGATTCTCTTATGAATGTTTGAAATGGTCCTTTGTGTCAGAGCGCTGGAGTTCGTCAGAAATAGAATGCGGTATCAGTTTACTGTCATGGATTTGTCGTGTCGTGTCGCGTCGCATCGCATCCACAGCAGAGAACATCACTGGGTTCTATTTGCTTTTGTGAAATTGCGCCGCTCGTGTCTGGTGTAGTTGTTTTGGTATTTGTGAATTTTAAATATATTCATAATCTGTTTTACGTTTACCTGGCACTGAAAGTCCTTTCACAAACTTGTAACTTTCATTCTCAGAGCAGAACCATACATCGTTCATTTATATTTCTACATGACTCCCTGCAATACAACTCTGATTCTTCAATCGCGCCATCTAGTGGTCTGTTATTGATACAACCACAACTTCTACAACTGATAACGGAGCGCTCAAGCGGGTACTGCGAGTCCATGTTAAGGTAATTAAAATGTCAAATTAATATTTTGCGCTCAATTGTTTACTTATCAGACAAGTGGCCGCATGATAAGAGGGAAAATTACACAGTGTAGTCTTTATCACCCTGCAGAGGTTTCTTTTGCAAAATAATCTGCTGACTGTACACGATCCCTCAGTTTGGGAACTACTGGAGTAGGCGATTTGTGCTCTATTAATTTGGTCTGTTACGATGCTCTGTGTTTGCTCACTAATGCCTATGTAGTACGGCGTTGCACACAGAGGACAAAGTCCTATCGTCATTTGTGTTAAAATTTGCAAAGCGTACCAAATTTAACAAAACAATATAAATGCAAAATTTGAATTCATGAATATATAACGGTATCCACGGTATAGCAAAATCCATATCATGGAACAACATAATACCGGTAGTCACTTTCATACCGGTATAGCGCCCACCCCTACTTCAGGATACATCTCGCTTGAATGGCAGGGCATTATATATATATACATATATAAATGCATCATTCATTCATTCATTCATATACACGGCAGCAGGTCAGGCTGCAGCCTCGTTGCACACCATGGCGGTGCTTCAGGCTTATCAGGCTGATCTGCTGAAAGACCTGGATAAAGGTCAGGGTCTTTCCCCCGATGAGGTGGCTGAGTTGCGCCGCACCACAGATCTTGCTCTCTGTGCCACTAAGCAGGCCGCCACTGCAATTTGGCAGATCCATGGCGGCCATGGTGGTTACGGAGAGACATCTGTGGGTGAATCTGGCAGATATTGGGTCGAAAGAGAAGGGCTTTCTTCTTGAAGCGCCAGTTTCCCTTTCTGAGCTTTTCGGCACTTCCGTCGAGACGGTGGTCGAGAAGTTTAAGGAGGCCAAGACGCGCTCGGCTGCCTTCAGATCCTTCATTCCACAAAGGTCCAGGTCTGAGCCTGAACAACAAAGGGGTCCTGGACCGTCTTGATCTAAGGATCAAAGGCGGGCTCAGAAGACTAGTGTCGCGACTCGCGCCCCTCCCCCGCCTGCGGGTAGGGTTCAAAAGAGGTGTGGGTCTAAGTGTGTCAGGCAAGATTTGAGTGAGGTGATCCTGACTAGGCATTCTTAACGCTCTTGTCTGGACCAGAGTAAAACCTGAGCTACCTACTCCCCTTCCTCTGAGAGTATTACATCTGCTCTCATCTTCCTCCCCTTAATTCCCCTAAAAAGTTTCCCTCCTGACTGAGGTTAGGTAGGAGCCTCCTGCGCTTGCATTGCAGTCTCTTATGCTGGGCCTATGATGTTTTGGTCTCTATGGCTACGTTCACACTGCGAGCCTTAGTGCTCAATTCCGATTTTTTTCTCAGATCCGATTTTTTTGTATAGCTGTTCACATTGTTGTTTTAAATGTGGCCAATATCAGATTTCCAGTGTGAACAGGTGGTTCTGAACTGACCCGAATGCGCAAAAGAACGATACGAACAGGGTTTCCAGATTTTCAGAATAAAGTCCATCCAATTCTTTCTCAAAACTAGTCCAAAACTAGCCCAATCATGTTCAGGGAGGTTAGTGGGGTCGTGTCAACCCACGAAGTTGAAAAACATCCCGCAGCAACAGAGGAAAAAGTAGCCCAATTCCGTGGGGAAAATGTGGATTTGGCAACACTTGCACAGTGCGCCGTCATACGCAAGTAAACATGGAGGATGTAAAGTAAGCAATTATGCATTTATTTAGTGTGATCTGCTGCAGAAGCCAGCGAAATTATGCACAGGCAATATGAAAAAAATAAAGACAAGGATGTGACAAAAGAAAGCAGAGTTTTTCAACTTTTATGATACAAGCCCTCATGTTTTGCTTGTAGAGTTGTCACTGTAATACACATAAGTTCTGACACATCACACTTCCACTGATCACCTTTCGCTACTGTCTTGATAACTTTGGGTATGTGAAATCTTTGAAGTGTCTCCCGTCAGCGCGGAATTATGACGAATGTCGATCTAAAAGCCGCATGAAATCCGACATGACCGTTCACACTGCGGTCGCATTGCAAGACATCTGACATGGATCGGATTTAGTACCACACATGGAAGTGGCACAAATCAGAATTGAAAAGATCAGATTCCATGCGGTTTGTGCTGTTCACACTGTCATGACAAAAACAGATCTGACTCACATGAGAGCAAAAAAATCAGATTTGGGCCACATTTGCCACACAAGTCTCATAGAACTACCTACTGATGGTTCGGACCCCAGTGCTCTTCAGACTTCGCCTCCAGCATATATCCATGAGCCTGAGTAATGCGCAGGAGCCATGGTTGGTGAGTACGATCCATTTCATCTACTCTACTGCTAGTTCTTGTGTATTCGATACTAGCCTTTTTCTGCAGCGCTACTCAGACCTGTTCTGTTTTCTGACTTTTAGGTTTAACTCCCCTGTTAAGTCAGGACCTCCTGCTGTTGACCGATTACAGTGATGGTTTCACTCATCGGTACTGGATCCAGGCTGGCGATAGCCCTCACCTTCTCGCAGGCTAGTACTCTTCTGAGTACATGCTTTGTGACATGCTCCCTATCCTCTGGCCAGGGTGCGCTACTCATTTCTCACCTTGAGGGGCCTCCTGAGATTTTAGTATTTCCTTAACCATCATGCACATTCTCTGATCTAGAGCTCCTCTCGCTGAGGCATTGACTCCATAGACAGTCAGGCCCGCGGGTCCTCCCTGTCTACTGCCCTTATGGTTGAACCAGTAATTGCCCCTCTGCAGAGTGGGCTTGAGTACACTGCGTTCTCTGAGGTAAGAGGGATTTGTGTTTCTGCGGAAACCCCTCTTGTATGCTTCTGTTCTGAGGAGCAGTAAGCTCTGTACGCATGAATGGTTATTGGGTCCCGCTATTTCTTCAGATTCTATCGGGTCTGGTTATAAGGGTCCCATGCTCTCTATCGAGCATGAGACCGTGTCCAGCTGCACCAGTGGACTGTCTCTTATTGGGCCCTGCTGGGTTACCCCTTCTAATCTAGCGCATCCTTCTGGTCGAGCCGAGAATTGCTCCCCTCACTGTGACGCTATGATTCGCTCCCAGTATGTGCTGTAAGGGCCCGCCTCAGCTTGAGAGCCGAGAGCGCTGCTCCTGAAAAACTTCATTTGCAACGAAACTGAGTGTTAGGCCCGTTTCTGTTGCCTCCTTGGTCAGTTGCCTCTATGCCAGGACCCTGTTGTTCTCTTTAGAAATGTGTGATCCCCTTCTAGCAGGATCCCATTTCAGATGTCACATTTGCCGCTTGCTGCCTCCCTGATAAGCTGCCTCTATTTGGGTAAAGCCAGACAGTGCTCCCCTCACCCCGGAGGGTTGTCTTTGAGCCTGCCGATTGAGCATCTGTGGACTTCTCTCATCAAGTCCTCCGCTCGTTTGAGCTCCATTGAGTTGCGGCCTCAGGTTGTTAGGCTTCTCTCCGCCTCCCGGTTGAGACGCTCTCTTTGTGGGTCGAGCTTAGCAGTGCCCTTGGGGGTTTCATGAGCACGCCCCTCTCGGTCTGAGCGTTCGAGTCCTCCTTCTATTTTTGAAGTTGGGCCTCCGCTCTTTTGAGCTCCGGATACCAATCATGACAGGCGGCTGGACCATCTCCTGCCTCCCTGGCGGGTTGCTTGTTAAGTGAGCTAGCTGTGCTCCCCTCACCATGAAGGGCCTCTTGCAAGCGCGCCGCTCCCTTCTGGGCATCTGTGAGCAGATGCTTCGGAATCTGTTCTGTGAGCGTGCCACAGTCACATAGGGCCCCTAGGCTGGCTTAATACAGCCTCGGTTACCCCTTAAGCAGCTGTGTTTGCTATGGTGGGGCCTGAAACCTGACTGAAATTCTTCATAGAGATCATTTTTTTGCAGGAAGGAGCGCAATTGTGCAGACACAACTTTTTCTAAAATTTTTGACATAAAAGGAAGATTTGAGATGGGTCTGTAATTTGCCAGTTCACTAGGATCTAGTTGTGGTTTCTTAATAAGAGGCTTAATAACCGCCAGCTTGAATGGTTTTGGGACGTGACCTAAAGACAATGACGAGTTAATAATATTGAGAAGCGGTTCTTCTGCTACAGGTAACAACTCTTTCAGTAATTTAGTGGGTACAGGATCTAAGAGGCATGTTGTTGGTTTAGATGCAGTGATATGTTTATTTAGCTCTTCCTGTCCTATATTTGTAAAGCACTGCAGTTTATCTTTTGGTGCGATGAATGAAGCTGAAGTATTATATGCTGTAGAATCTACATTTGTTATTGTGTTTCTGATGTTATCTATTTTATCAGTGAAGAAATTCATAAATTCATTACTATTAAACTGTGAGGGAATATTTAGATCGGGTGGCGTCTGGTTATTTGTTAATCTAGCCACTATGCTAAATAAAAACTTTGGATTGTTTTGGTTATTTTCTATGAGTTTGTGGATATGCTCGGCCCTGGCAGCTTTTAGAGCCTGTCTATAGCTGGACATACTGTTTTTCCACTTGCACTTGCACTTGCAAGCGCGCCGCTCCCTATCTGGGCATCTGTGAGCAGATGCTTCGGATTCTGTTCTGTGAGCGTACCATGGTCACGTAGGGCCCCTAGGCTGATTTAATACAGCCTCGGTTACCCCTTAAGCAACGGTGTTTCTAAATCAATGCTATGGTATGTGCACACGCTGAGCTTCTGTGCACTTTCTAAAATCCACATTGTGGTAAGTGTGCATGCTAAGCTTTCTGTGCACTTTCTAAAATCCTGTATGGTAAGGGTTATGCGCTGTCAGCCTCGTTCTCTTTCTCTGAGTTGGTTTAGGCACCGGTTCTCGCATTGGGCTCCACTCAACTTATGTGTCTCTGTTGATACATTTCTGAGCAGGGTGTTGCTACCAAAGATCTGTCGAGTCAGTTCTTTGAGCAGGTTTATTCAGAACCGGCGGTAGCCCCCCTGGGTGGCAGGCCAGGGTCTGGTTTGGTTTTTAGACTGGTTTTTCTGATTACAAGTCTTGAGCTCTGCCCTAGGCTTGGGCTTCCTAGCCCAGCCCTTAACAGGTAAGTTATTTTAGGGTATGCAGCTCAGGCCCTTGGCCGAAGGGGATAATGTCACTGACAGCCGTCAAGATGTTATTTGGGGCAAGTCCCATGCCTATGGTAGAGTTGGTACATAGTGCTCGCTGTGGTTTCTGGCATGCACTCCCCCCAGCATGGCGGCGTGGGTATACCGTTCCCCATATCGACCCCTAGAGGACGCAGTTCAAAGTTCTCTCGAAAGGGAACGAGACACTGCGTCCTCTAGTTCCCTTGCCATGCTTCAGACGTAAGCTTCAGACGAAGAAGTGGATGACGTGTGCTCCCAGCGCCCTTTTATACTTTGGTCGCGCCGGGCGATGACGTCGGCTGTCGCCGGCCAATGTTATTGTCGTGTTTAGATGTATGCTTCAGACACCAGTCACGCTGAAGGCATTCCCCATAGTGACCCCTTGAGGACGCAGTGTTCCCTTCTCAGGGAACCATGGTTACATACATAACCCAAGATGTTTTATGGTTTGACTGAATATCAGAAGTTGCTACCAAGAATTTTATAAGTTTGATCATTTAGAAAAGATTTAGCATTCTGAGTCAGAACAGCCTGAAAGTCTGTGCCAAGTTTGGTGATCATTGCTTGAAAGCTCTAGGATGAGATACTGTAGAAGCATAAATTGTAGATCAGTGTGTTGGCTTGGCAAAGTAATTATAGTAATAATTGTACAAATAATACTATTTCCAGATATGCAGTCTGGAAGTACTCCAGTACTCCAGTTTTGTGCAACCTGTGCAGCTTTGTATTTTAATTTGTCTAAATTCTTTTAAACTTTATTCCACCAATATGAAAGTTGGATCCTCTAAGTAAACACACACTATAAAAGGCCAGATTTGTCACTGTCAACCCTCTGTGTTCTCCTGTAGCAGAGACGTGCTCCAGTGTGTCGGGGTCTCCGGTCAAGAGCTCGGTTCTGGGTAACAGCTCAGTGGGATCCAGCACAGCCACGCTGAGCACCGTGTCAGAACCACTGGAGCCGGTCCAGACTCAGCAGCCCTGCTCGCTCAAGGGTTCTCTGTCCTCTGACAACATCTATGGCCCCACCACACACACACCACCCCGACAAGGTGAACACACTCACACGGCTGTTGTCTACAATAGCCTGTCAAGCATATGCTGCTGTACATATTTGCTGTAAATGTGTCTGCCGCTGCCCTAACCAGCCACAGTGCAACAAATGTCTAATGTCCACTGGCCTCGTGGAAAGCAAAATGCATCATGTAGTAACACAATCACAGCCAATCACATCATATTTGATAACTGTGATACAATTATGCGAAGCAAGACTTTAATGTTTGGAGCTGCCCTAATCAACACACATAGAAACCAAACCATATGATTTATTGCTCAATATGCATGCCGCCTGGCTTGGATGCAGTGTGACAGTTATTTATAGTTGATATGCAGAAGACGAAGGTGTCAGAGTTGCCTCTCTGAACAGTGTATCATGTTCTAGATTATCATGTCTTTCTCCTTCTCAGTTTTTTTGTCACGCATATCTCACTCACACGCATGGGATTATTGCCAACTTTCACAGTCTCTCATGTGCGCTCCACTCATTTACTTCATTTAAATGGAGTCAGCCGGAATGTGACATTTAAACGGCTGCCTAATGGCTCAGTCACACGACATGACTTCATGGACAGCAAAGAAAGTTTAAAGGATTGCATGATGCTCATACTGTCATCATTCCTATGGATCAGTAGACATTTTCACACATTTAGTTATTGCCACAAATATTTCTATTTTGAGGTCATGCGTGAGCAGAAAAGCAATCAATCTTATGTATTTCAAGGAGTTGGGTCATTGCCACAAAATTTCTGTATTTGTCATGTAATCTTTAATATGAATACTTTGTGCCAGAGATGTGGCACAAACTGCACATACTCTGTTTGTGGTGGTGCTTACGCAGCAAACTAAGTTTGAATCCGGCTCATGTCATTTCATGATTTCATCTTTCTCTATGGTTTGCAGTAACCTCTATGCAAAATCCCCAAAAGGAAGGAAGATACTGAAGAAATCCTGCACATGACATCATGTTGGGTCCAAGTTTCACCTTCTAATTTATTGAGTTCTTAAGTGGCCTAATCAGAGCCTGTACTTATATCTGTACAGACCTGAAGATTGCAAAATAAATGTAAAGGATTGCATTATGCTTATACTGTGTCTGAACAGGGCAGTAGAACTGTTGTATTCAGTATGGTCTCCGTAATCTCAGATGTAAAACCAGAACTAACCAGAGTCTCCTGTTCAAAGGCTAAACTCCAATGTTCCACATTTCCAGCCGGGTTTGCCAAATGCTGCCCCGAGCCTGGGAGAGTGACTCCACTCTGATCTGTATCTCCTGAAGGAGAGACACCAGGTCCAAAAACCATATGTGGGACGGCCAAAACAGTGCTGACAGCAGTGATATACTTTGTCCTCCTGTACTCTCATACGAACCGACAGACTTAATGACATACAGACCAGTCATCAGCATCACATAAGCCAGAGCAATTACTCCAAGAGGTTTCGGAGGACAAAGAGAGAACGAAAGGGGGAAAGTGGGTTCTTATTCGACGTGAACAGATCCACTTTTGCCCTGCCCTGCCAAATGACTCCTTTTCTGAGGATGCAACATCCATTCTCTAGGCCTCGACCTTCTCATGAAGCACCTTCAGTGCCAGAAGCATGTTCTATGCCAAAATAAGAATGTGCCATGCTAAACTTCCCACGGGGCACAAACGTATTCCCCCTGGTGCTTTATGTAAAAAACTACTGACACCGACATGACGGCTTCAATTGACCTATCGGTAAGCCCCTCCCCTCGAATGCAGATGAGCCAATGGCAGCTGAGTATCAGTTGCACGGGGATCGGAACTTGGACATCTTTAGGTTTCAACGCAATAGAGAAACATTGGAAGATCCGAAGCTTTCATCGTTTTGATAGTGTTTATGCTACAAAATGGAAAACGATGTGCCTAGGGTGCTTGTAACACTGATTCCATGTCTCCTGAGAGGATGGGCAATGGAATTTATTTTATTATATTTCCTAAACCCAAACAAAACAGAGCAAAAATGTCCCTAAGCATTCAACCCAATCCCAGTGAAGACAAAAACGTTAATTTTCTGGTTGTCATACTCTCATTAAGTTACACTTTTCTAACAAACTAAAAACTAACAATAAAGTTAGTGAGTCAGTGCTAACGTACAAGCATAAATAGCAAACTGTTCTCACGCCATGTACAGTGTAAGTCAAAAACACATAAATGAAGGTCTATATTTCAGTGCCTCTCCATATTAAACTGGTTAAATGTAAATTAATTTAATCTTACCCTGCGGTACATGAACAGTGTTGTCATTGCAATCGTAACAGCCATAACATGAGACTTCTCCTGTTTGCATTGTGATCTGTATTTTTACATATTTATTTTGAAATATTTTATATATCCCTCCATGGCATATTTAAGTCTCACTTGAATGATGGTCCTTCTGTGTCCAATTTTTTTTTAAAAACATCTTGGGACAACGTTTTCACACTTGACAGCTGTCATTGTAAGACAGTAGAAACTCAACAGTAACCAAGGTGGCAGGGCTTACTGATAGGTCAATTCTCCAGAAGGAAATGGCTCAAAAGTGGCATCATCTCCATTTATGTGCCACATGAGATGATGGCCCTTTTGGACTCGGTAGGCTGGACGTCCTTCATAAACTTTTGTCATAGGTTTTTGTCATAATTCTTGTGTCAACAGAATCCACCAGAAGGTACCACCAGAGTCAACAACCGGGGATGTTTCCAAGGTAACAGGGCCCAATAGCATTTCGGTTTAACCCTTATTGTGCAGTGAGGATTCCAACAGGGACAAACTCCTCAGCTGTTGACCTACCACTGAAACAGCCTCAACCCAGTGCTACCATTGATGAAGCCACTGCCACGAGACCCAAAAGTCTGCAAAACAAACTTCCAGGAGTCAGAATTACTGGAATTGTCCGAGTTGATTTGGACAAAGGTGAAATGAATGGACAAGTCGAATTTACCCATTGTGCATGAATTCAGATCTACCTGCTGAAGGAACTGTCTCAACAAACCCCTAGTAGCAACACCCTGTTAAAGTAGGTATCATGAGGATACACAGATGGAATTGTGCCTAAGGTGGAACCGGGGCCTAACCGACTCAAGAAATGGCACGAAGCCGCTGCGCGTAGCCCCTACCATACAGGATTTTAGAAAGAACGCCTAGGTCAACTCAGAAAAAGGGAACGAGGCTGACAACGCGTAACCCTTACCATACAGGATTTTAGAAAGTGCGCAGAGTGCTCAGCGTGCACACTTACCACCATGTGGATTTTAGAAAGTACACAGAAGCTTAGCATGTGCATTTACCATAGCATGGATTTTATAGAGAGTCCTAAGCATCTGCTCACAGATGCCCAGAAGTACTGAGCCAAATGGGAGTGGCAAGCTCAAAGACAACCCTCTGAGGCGAGGCGATCACTGCCTGGCGATAGCATTTTACAAGAAGGGTTCTCGCAAAACACCACTCATACCTCACGCTCGACGTCATACAGACTGGATACAGCATCGACGAGTGAGGTCATCACTGCAAGGCGAGAACCCGGTTCTGAGTCCAGTAGAGGGGGTGCTCACCGAGGACCTACCCTAGAAAAGGACAGAAACACACAGGTCCCAGAAAACACTGCAAAGTAGGCTAGCAGGCGGATTCACACAACCACCAGCGCATTATATATATATTTTTCAAAATGGATCATACTCGCCCACCATGGTTTTCGTGCAGGAGCCCCATTCAAGAAGCGAAGCCCGAAGAAGCCTCTAGTCCGGACCATCAGTAAGGTGGTTACTATGTGAGACACAAAACCAACCGAAAACATCATAGGTCCAGCATAGGAGACTGCAATGCAGGCACAGGAGGTTCCTACCTAACCTCGGTCAGGTGGAGATGATGGTGGTTACAGGGGAATTAGGAAGGGGAAGATGAGGGCAGATGTTAAACCCCCC